CAAATGCCTTCTGCTCAGGTCATGATCCCAGGGTCCTGGGATCAAGCCCCTCGTTGGGCTCCCTGTTTCTTCCTCTCCCTATGCCTGTAGCTCTGTCTACTTGTGCTCTCTTTCTGTCAAATAAATAAAAGCCTTTAAAATAAAAATTTTAAAAAATAAGTTAAGAAAAATTAAAAGCTGAAGAAAAGGGTGACTGGATGGCTTGTAGTTTAGGTGGCTGACTATTGATTTTCAGTCAGATCCTGACCTAAGGGTCTTGGGATCGAGCCCTGCATCTGGCTCTGTGCTCAGCGGGGAGTCCCCTTTGGGATTTTCCCTCTGCCCCAACCCCGCTTGCTTGCTCTCTTTCTTTAAAATAAATCAATCTTTAAAAAAAAAAAAAAAGGCTAGAAGGTAGAAAAGATTTATGTTAGGCAACTGTGTATGTTTTATCATCCAAACCAGGCCACTTTTTTTTTTTTTTTTAAGATTTTATTTACTTATTTTGACAGAGATCGCAAGTAGGCAGAGAGGCCGACAGTGAGAGGGGGAGGGGAAGCAGGATCCCTGCTGAGCAGAGAGCTCGATCCCAGGACCCTGAGACCATGACCTGAGCCGGAGGCAGAGGCTTAACCCACTGAGCCACTCAGGCCCCCAAGGGCTATTAATAATTGTCCTGGGATAATGAGCACAAATTAGGACTTTTCTGGAGATACTAGACAAACCAGGAGATACAGTCATCATATTTTATTTATTTATTTATTTATTTATGATCATCATATTTTAAAAAGGAAAAGAGGAGTACTTTGCCCCACCCTTCATTCCCAGTGTCTTTCCAAAGGTACTGACCCTCAACTTTGTAGCTGTTCTGGGATTTACCTTCACATTTCTAGAGAATGTTTATACGGTTTCATGATTTTTTATACCTGTTTTCCTTATTCATGCTTGTTGTTACTTCCCTAATCATCTCCATCCCATAGCATGTTTGTGGCAAAATTGTTGATTCAATACCTTATATTTACATTATTGTAACTAGTAAATATTCACCCACGGTTCACCCAGACACCCTGTTTCTTGAACAATAACTGTTTCCTAACAGAAAATTTTCATTTGTTCTTTGTACTTAGCAATTTTTCTTCCCCAGTTGTATCATGGTCTCTGCCACATATGCCAAATAGTATCCATAGGAGTCTCCCCCAACCACCCTCTAAACTTTGCTTTCATTATTCAGTCCTGCTGCTGTCTGGATCTTATGCTTCCTACCAACCTTTGGAACTATTTCCTGGGTTCTGTGTCTGGACTTGTCTTTCTTAACTGTTTCCTGGGTTCCATGTCTGTTTCTTCCATTCTTTAGACTCTTAATTTTGTAGGACATATTCTTCATTTGTCTTCCTTTGATATTTGTCTTGTTTTTTGATCTTTTTAAAAGATCTTACATGTCTGAAAATGTGTCCTATTCTCCACCTCACGTTTAATTGTTAGATTGGAATTCAAGGGTAAACATTTTTCTTAGTACTATGGGCATTGCTTCGTTGTCTTAAGAGTTTTTACAGTTGTCATTAAGAAGCCAGGGCAAGATCTTCTCTTCATTTTTGGTGTTGTAAAATTTCAAGATGTTAAATTGTGTTTAGTGTTGGTCTTTTTTTTCTTTGATCCTGCTGGATTCTCTAGAGCCCTTTCAATGTGGAGATTTATATTCTTCAGTTCTGGAAAGGTTCTTTTATTTCTTTAGTAGTTTTCTTTCCATTTTCTTTCTTCTCTATTAACTATGGCTAAAGTAAGATGATAATTCCCCTGGTTAATTTTATTTTAAAGTTGTATTTTCTACTTCTGAGAGGTTTCCTCAGTTTATTCTCAATAATTATGTTGAATCTCATTGTATCACAGTTTTTAAAAAGAGTATCCCATTTTCAGTGTCCACAAGCTCTTTATTATACTCCAGTTGTTTTCTTAAGCACCCTGTTATTTTATGAATGGATGTCTGTGATCTCTGAGGGTAGTAGTTAGCTATTTTCCCCAAATTTTCTTTATATTCCCTTTTTTCCTTTTTTTTTAATCCTGGTCTTTCATATCAGAGGATTTGATTGGATACTTAGTGATCCTTAATTAGAAGTTTTGTTTTGTTTTGAACATATAATGTATTTCCTTCTGTTTGAAGGAAATCCTAAAAAACTGATTAGAAAGCTCTTGGTGACTAGTGGACTTTGCTGTGGGGGAGGATGTTCCTGTGGCAGTCTAGCTTGGTAATTGGGAGCAGGCCAAATACCAGTGTCCAGAAATCTTGATCCATGTTTTTGTTTGGTGATCCAAGAGTAAAATCCCTTAATTTTATGGCAGCATTGTAGAAATAGGGCTGGGAAAAAGTTCTCAGGTCTCAACATTGAACATACAGATTTTATTTTTCACACTTAGCCCTGCAGATTTGATTATATACTTGGGTGGGATGGGTTACATCTGAAATCCTTATTCTGGAGAGAATAAATACTTTTGGAAAATTGAAACTAGGGGAAGAATTCGGGGGTTTATTGTTTGAACTACATATTTGATTTCAACTCACTTTTAATGCCATGCATCTTCTCTTTTATGGTGGTATCTGGTACCTTCAGGTCATGCTGCTTTTTTGTGTCCTAAGGCCAAATGCTTTGCTTTTGGTTTCTACCTCTAAGGGCCTAGGGTGTTTTATCTTCTCTGTTTAACTGTTGTGCCTTTACTCTTACTTTGGATTTTCCAAATACACATTGAAATCTCTTGCCTTCTGTGACCCCCTTTGGATTCATTACCTATCGTTTTACCAGGGTTTTGGAAAGGGGCAAAACAGGTACATAAGGATAATCTCTCATGTTTTAACTGGAAGTTCCACACAGACCTTTTTTGATAAGCTTGCTTTGATTTAATCATACTCATTGTAACTTTTACTGTGGTTTGTCATTAGTTGGACATTTTTAGTGGAATAATTTTAATTGATAATGAGTTTGTGTTATATCTTTTTCATGTTTATTGTATATCTCCTGCTGCAATATAGACCATATGTTTTAGTGTTTTTTTCCTCTCTTCAGTCTCTTTTCTGTTATTGCCTGATACCATGTTTTTAAAGTAAATATCATAACGAAAGAAAATTCTTTTGTAGTAACTTTTAAGGTAGAAAGTTGTGATTGATCCGAAGTTGGCAAGTTAATGAGGTTCCATGCCAAAAATAGATTAGGTATTTTTACTTTAAATGTTTAAATTTGAAATTTTTTTTATTTTTTCCTTTTTCTTTTGTGGGGAGCAGGGGTGGATGGTTGGGGTGGGAGGGACAGAGGGAGAGGAACAGAGCGAATCTCAGCAGGCTCCATGCTCGGTGCAGGGCCTGATGCAGGGCTCCATCTCACAATCCTGAGTTCATGACCTGAGCATAAATCAAGACGCAGATGCCTAACTGACTGAGCCACTGAGCAGCCCCTGAGGTGCCGCTAAATTTGAATGTTTTAATAAGGAACATATGCCTTATCCAAGTGGCATATCAGATAAGTGCATCTGTTTGTAGTTACTTTAATGTCATCCACTACCAGAACAAGAAGGAAATTTTTGACCCTTCTTGAAAGTGGGTAGGGAGAAGTTGAAGAGATTATTGTGATTTAAAGTTTTTTGATTATAAAAGTAATGTCTTCATAGCAGCACTGTTTGTAATAGCCTAAAATTGGAAACAGTTCAGTGTCCATCTGCAATATAATGGACAAATAATTTATGTGTATTGATAACAATGAAATACTATATAAACCAGTTAGAGTGAACTTACTACAGCTACATGCTACAGTACAAATGAATCTCACAAATACAACGTTGAGCAAATAAAACCAGACATAAGAGAGTACATGTTATATCATTCCTTTCATATACACACAGGTGTCCACCCCTATCCAAAAGTAGAGTATTTCTTTGAAACCTTTTGTAGGCTAGAATGATGTAAAGTGAAGAAGCAGTTATTCGTTTATATGGGAAAACTTTTGAGTTTTCCCTGACCCAAAAAATATCCTCTCTCAGACTTTTCTGTTACTGTACACCACATTGTGCTAATGGATACACAGTACGCATTGAGATAAAGCACAGAAGCTTGCAGACAGAGTTTAAAGTTATGGCGGCTTGATGCTGAGATGCGGAGTGTAGTTCCTGGGGAAGGAGGTTAGTGTTGGCACTTGCTACTCAGGGTATACACTGCCTCAGTGCTGCAAAACAAATGTTGTATGCTGTTTTTTCACTTTCCGTTCCCTTTTTATAAAAGCAAAAATTCTCTTTGGATTTCTTTTGCTTAGCAAAAATAGGTACTATATATAGGTCTTTCATATAAGTGACAGGGCATAATGTGGACTTTTGAAAAGTGGGAGGTACCTGTATATTTAAAAGATTACACGTAGCTATTGTGACTCTTGGTCGAGGTTGAGGAATGTTTATTAAAGAAAACTTAGAAATTTTCACTTTTGAGAAAGGGAGAGAAACAGATTATAGCATAAGTTAGAGTGTCTTAAAGTATGTACAGAATAGAAGCACACAAAGAAAAATGATTAGTGTTTTCATACCATGACTAGGAATTGAATGGGGAATGTACAGAGTTTCCATGTATGTACAGAGTCTGTGAAAGTGTTTTGTGATAAGGGGAGTGCGAATAGTATAGCTAATGCTCATGGTATGAGTATAAAGCACTAATAATAGATAAGGATAGCAAGACAGTCAAGAACAAATTTGTGTTGGATTCTGTAGAGACAAAATTGAATAAGGAAAAGAGCCCAGGCTTTGGAAACAACCTCAGTTCCTCATCCCTCTTTTATCAGTTTGCTTCGTTTTATGGGCAGTGGGAAGCCTTTGATGGACTTGAGACTTCTGCCTTAGAGAAGACAGGGTGTTGATAGTCTCATAATTCACCATGTCTGATATAGTTAATTTGCATGGTTAATTCTTGATTCGAGCTAATGATTAAGGAGGATTAAGTATCTAAGGTTTGCGTGTTTTCCCAAAGGCAATTAATCAAAATTTGCATTTCACAGGAAACCTCAAGAATGGATTCTAAACCGTCAAGGATTCCAAGAAGAATTTCAGTCCAACCCCCCACCTCTTTAAGTGCTAGGATGATGTCTGGAAGCAGAGGGAATAATTTAAATGATACCTATCACTCAAGAGACTCTTCATTTAGACTGGATTCTGAATATCAGGTAACATCTTAATTTGGAATATATGTACATAGTTTCTTTGAAAATACGTGGGGCCACATGGTTTTTAGATTTTAGGAAAGTAATGAGTATAGTTAATAAGACACTCAGATGGATCTGAGGCATCCTGTAATAAAATATAATATATCCACAGGAAAATGAATGATTATTCACACCAAGTAGCAAAAAAAAATAGTCTTTGTGGACTTCAAAATTATGAAGGAGGCATTGTGGTCTTAATGTAAATCATTATGCTGTATTTCAAAGACTTGGAAACCCATTTACTTAAAAAACATAAGTATCAGTTTAAGTATAAATTTGACGACATTAAACAATGTGGATGACTTGGTCAAAGGATAGAAAGTGCATCCTTTCTTAACATTGTACATATTCATCTGACTTTTTCTCTGCATGTACAAAGCAGCAGTGGAGTAATGATTGTTAAGGGTTTTTTTTTAGTATGGCTTCCAAATATTTTGCTTTTAGTGGCAGGTGATTATTAAATCGACAGACTGTCTTTTGTGAAGATGTATTACTAACAATCTTAGACATATTTTGGGGCTTTATTTTCATGGTTAATCTAATGAGTTTGCAGATTCATAATCTACATAAGCTACTCATATATTAGTTTCCTTTGGATTGATAGTACTTAGGGTTTTGAAATGGTTTATTAGTTATAAACATAACAGTTGTAGTAAAAAAACAGTATAAATCTCAGAGGCATGATTTCTAGGTTTAATGCAATTCCTATTGTTCATCTTTCAAATTTCAGGTTATTGCATTATTGACTAAAAAGCTAATTAAATCATATGTGATGTGGACAGGTCTGATGTAGGTAACTTGAATCTAAGAATCCTTTAGTGAGAATTTTCATTTAGGCATTTATAAATGTATATAACTTGATATTCTACTTGACAGTCATTTTAAAATGTTTCTATGCAGTAATAAGCATATTACAAAATATTCAGAGAAAAAACATTCCCTAAAATGCATATATTACATACTTCCTCGTTTTCTATGAACTATTACTGAGTCATTTTTTTTAATTTTTAATTTTTTATTAACATATAATGTATTATTAGCCTCAGGGGTACAGGTCTGTGAATCGCCAGGTTTACACACTTCACAGCACTCACTATAGCACATACCTTTCCCAGTTTACTGAGTCATTTTAAATGTTGGTTGATAATGTATTTTTTTTTTAATTCTGTTGATTGACAAAAGGACACTTGCCAGAGGTACAGAATCACGAAACTATATCCTGTAGAAAAGTTCTGGGTTACATGATTATGACTTATTAAGAGCACAGATTGGTTTTTCCCCCTATATTGTCTCCATAAAAAATTTATCTGCAGATCTTTTTCTAATTTTTTCACAGAGCTTTTTAGTGAGGAGCAGACTCTGAAACCAGACTATACTGCCTGGAGTGGAGTCCTGTTCCACTGCTTACTGTGTGAATGTGGGCAAGTTTCTTTATTAAGTCTTTCTTATTTTCTGTATTAGGTTGTTAGTGTTAGATGAATTATTACACTGAATGAGAATAGTGCCTGTCACATGATAAATACTATATAAATGTTAGCTGCTACATTTGTTTTTATTATAATTAATTATATTAGCTGCTAAAGGTCTTAGCTGTATTTAGAAAATTTATTGACATTCACTTTAAAAGACAAGTATTTTCAAGACTATTCCGTCCAGCTTTTTCTTAAAGTCCTAGATTACTTTAAAAATCTCCGTTTTCATTGTGAAAGTTAAACAAGTGCAAGCATAAAAAACCACTTAATGTCTTTTACTGATTCTTAATAAGATAAATCAGCATTGGAGTTTTTCTTAATGTTTTTCAGTTGCTTTAAATGGCATCCAATTTTTTTTAATGGATTATAGGAACATTTCCAATCTTAAATCAGTTACTTCTAGCTTGCTTTGCTCTTTAGTTTTGATTTAAAAACAAACTTCTGTGTTCTTGCACAAATTATTTTATATCTGTGTTTCTTCTGTAAAATGGTGGTAACAGCTTTTTACGTGGTTTTATTAAGATTTACTGAAAGAAATAACACATTAAAGCACCTAAAACAACTCTGCCTGGAACTTAGTAAGATGTGTGTAATGATGATTGTAATTGCTATTGTTATCATTATTTCCCGACTTTGTATTGGTCTTAATAGGTATCTTTAAGGTATAGTGTAGTATGTTGTCAGGATATTAAAATTACATATTATGTATTTAGTTTTATATAATATTCTTAATACTACTTAACAAAATGTATGTTTAATGAATGAGAACTTTAAATATCAAAGGGAATATTAAAAAAAAAAAATCGCTGTTTTCTCACAGCTGTTTGCAATATAACACTCCCCTTCTCTCTGAAGCTTCAGAAATGAGGGTCAGGACTAGGCATGCTCAATTTCAGTTATGTTAAGGATTAAATAATAGGGAAATACTTTATATAGCGCTTAATATTTTATGGAACATTTTTTGCTTTTAATTTTAGTTAATCAAGGATAATACTTGTGTCATTTTGAAGATAGGATCTGAAATCTGGGAAGAGAAGTGGTTTCCTTCAGTCACATGATTAATATATAAGTACCTGAGTTTAAGAATCTAAGACTTACGGATAGCATTGTTTCTTTGGGAAAATACAGATTCTGAGTTCCGAACAATTGATTTTCTGAAAATCTTTTGGTTCTCAGCCATTTGTAAGCTGGGCTGCCTCTGTTATTAATCTTGCTGGTATTTCTGTTGTTTTATCTTGGAAGTTTTTGTTAAAATTTGAATGGTTGAATACTCTGATCTTCTTATCTCTTTGTTAGCAGTAAGTAGAATTTTAAATATGTTTTAAAAGAGAATTTAATTCCTTTAATTCATATTGTTAAAAGTAAAAATTTGGGAGCATTCTGTGAATATGTAATTGTGTATATAAGTTTCATGTATATTTCTGTAACTTAGTTTAAGAGCTGCTAATCCCATTACACTTTTCCTTTCTTGCTTTGAGATTAATCACTTTTAATAAGAAATAATGAGAAGCTTTTTATTTATGTGTTTTCTAGTTTGTAGATCAACTTACAGAGTTCAGTACCATTTGCATATTTTACGTACTATATTATGTCAAAAATTAAAAGAACCGTTAGTCATTAACATGTTTATCTACTACAAGGTTAGCTTCCAAGGAACTAAATACATGCATGCATACATATAAATAAAATTAGATAAGAAAATTAGAATAGTTTTAAAATGGTATCAAGACAAATACAGATAAAGTACTGAGTGGGTCAAATTTATAATACTGATAAGCATTTATAAGCCCTGCAGTGTTTTAGAGTTAACTTGGGACTTTTGTTTTGGGTATCAGGAACATCACAGGGAAATAGAACCAGATCTAGAAGATGTTTTGTTCATAAGAAAAACCCAGTTCCTCCAAGAAAGCAGTGCTTGACAGTTTGGTCTGAAAGGGGACAGGGAATGATACAGTGAATATTGTCTTCAGTGTAGTATTAAAATTATTAGTATATTGCTAGTTTACTCAACTTGTTTCTTGGTAAATCTCAGCGTAAGCAAAGGACATGATGCCAAAGTGTACAGCTCAGTGAAAAACAGTTCTTTCAAGGAACAGTAGAGTGATCTGAATACCAGTTTTCTGGTAGTCTTCATTTATGTATTGGGGAGTTTTGAGTAATAAATGGACTCCAAATCCTTCTCTCTTGTGTATGTATAAGGTTTCTTACCTGGATTTGGGCATGAGTGAATTCATAAATCTTAAAATCCACTAATGTCTTTTTCTTTTTTTTTTTTGTTTTAATGAGAATTGAAAAGACTACTCATTCTGAAGAGAAAGTAGAAAATAGGACTTCACATTAGTGTGGCAGTGGATGCTCTAGCATGTGAATATTTAGAAGAGGTCAAAGTTCCATGGTGTTGCCTATGGCTAAGATAATTTTGGTCTGGAAAATTTTTGAAGCTGGGATTAGCAGTCATCACAGTCACAGCATTGACTCATTGAAATGAGCCAAAGAATAGCATTTCATTCTGGATTTGCCTCTGTTACTGTGTATTAAATGATTTCCAAATGATTAAGCATTGTCCAGTGGGTAGCATTGGTTGTATTTGCAGTAATTGTTAAGGTTCTTTTTTTAAGAATAGCTTTATTGAGTTAAAGGTCACATACCACATGACTCACCCATTTAAAGTATACAGTTTGGTGGTTTTCAGTACATTCACAGAGTTGTGCAAATCACTACCACGGTCAATTTTACAACCTTTTTATCACCTCAGGAAAAAACTCCAGAATCGTTAGCTATCACTGCACTGCCCCTCCCTCTCAGCACTAAAGCCAGTAGTCTACTTTTTGTCTCCGTAGAATTCCCTGTGTTGGACTTTCATTTACATTGGTAGAAACATAAACTGCAGTCTTTTGTATTAGCTTTTTTCACTTAACATGCTTTCAAGGTTCATCTGTGTATAGCATATATCAGTACCTTATTCCTTTCTACAGATGAACATAGTCCATTTAATTGGGTATGCCTTTTTTATGGGTGCATAATCCATTTTTTGAATATATCACATTTTGTTTATCCATTCATCCACTGATAAGATATTTGTGTTTACATCCTTTGGCTATTATGACTAATGGTGCTGTAAATACTTACATGCAGTTTTTATATGCAGTCTTACATTTTCAGTTACTTCAGTTTTATACCTAAAAGTAGAATTGTTCAGTCACGTCATATAACTTTGTGTTCAATTAATTGAGGAGCTGCCAGACTATTTTCCAAAACTATCTGGGCCATTTTATATTCCTACCAGCAATTCTGTGAGGGGGTTCTGATCTTGCCACATCCTTGCTTACATTTATCTTTACATTTTGATTCTAGTCCTCCTGTCATGGGTGTGAAATGTCTCATTGCAGCTTTGATTTAGATTTCCATGATAACTTGTGATTTTGAGCATCTTTTCATGTGCTAATTAGCTACTTTTATATCTTTGAAGAAATGTCTATTCAGATCCTTTGCTTATCTTTAAATTGGGCTATTTGTTGCTTTATCATTGAGTTGTAAAAAATTTTCATTTTAAATTCCACTTTTTCATTACTGGTATATGGGAAAGTGATGGCCTTTTTTTTTTTTTTTTTTTAAATATATTAACCTTGTGTCCTGTAACATTACTCTGATCCTTTATTGGTTTACGATGGATTTTTTTGTTGTTGTTGTTATTGTTGATTCTGTGAGATTTTCTACATAGGGGGTCCTCTGCAAATAAAGATAGTTTTATGTCTTTCTTCCCAATCTGTGTACATTTTATTTCCTTTTCTTGCATTATGCATTACTTAGAACTTCCAGTGCAGTGTTATAATGGAGTGGTATAAATAAGAACCAAGTAAGCCCAAAGTTAGTAGAATAATGGAAATTAAAAAGATCAGAATGTAAATAAATAGACTAAAAGACAATAGAAAAGATAGGTAAAACTAAGAGCTGGTTTTTTTTGTTTTGTTTTGTTTTAAAGCTAAACAAAATAGACTAACCTTTAGCTGGGTTCACTGAGAGGAGAATTCAAAATCAGAAATGAAATACACAATACCATAAAAATACAAAGGATCCTAAGGGACTGCTATGAACAGTTATATTCCAAAAACTGGACAACCTATAGAAATAAATTCCTGGTAACACACAACCCACTAAACCTGAATCATGAAGAAATAGAAAATCTGAGCATACCACTAATAAGTAAGGAGATTAAATCAGTAGTAGATAATAATTTTTTTACTATTTAACCTGTAACCCATGATACCATGATCTGAGCTGAAACCAAGAGTCAGATGCTCAACTGACTGAGGCACCCTGGTGCCCCTTTTGGGATTTTATGGAAGCTTCCTTACACAGTCAAATTGACTAAGTCATTGGCCATTGTCTTCAGCCCTTCCCTTTCTGTTCCCTGGAGTTTGAGGAGTGAGGTAGGACTGAAATCTTTCTTTCCCTAGAAAAAAATGAAAAGAAAAGAAAAATTCTTAGTTTATTCAGTTGTTAAAATAATTTAGAATGGTAAAAAGTAAATGATTCAGACCAAAGATACTTGAACAGTGAACCAAATTGATAGAAGCCAAAAAAGATTTTGGTTTTGAACTTAAGCCAGCAGAAATACTGGTCAGAACCTTTATTTTTCCTTTCCATATATTGATATTAACAAGCATTTTGTTTCTGGGATGACATATAGGCTGCATTTTAGAATTATGAGTCATGAAAATTATTTCCTGAAGAGTGAGTGTATCTTTTTTCTCATCAATAGCCAATGCCTGAAAACTGGATTGACTTTAGACCTTTTGTTCATTTCTCACTGTGTCTCTAAATTTGATGAGTTTTTGTCTTACAGTTACTCTCTTCCCATTACTTGTATCACAAGGACTTATTTCCGGCTATTTCAGTGACTTCCTGGTTGATTTTCTTTCTGTTCATTCCATTTTTTTCATCTCCCACAATGCTCTAAGGATCTTTCTAAGAAGTAGTTGATCTGATGGTATTTCCTCATTCAGTTTTTCCCAAAGTTATATTTACACAGTTTGTCTGGTCCATGCAAAACAAGAAAAATAAGGAAAAGATTTTGTACAAGTGAAGTTTATTCACTTGAAAGTCTCTTTTATTTTGTTAAATCCATCATGTTTTGGGAGCATATGAAATGCCCCTCTTAAAAACTGGGGATGGGATTAGATGGCATTTGGTAATTTTGATTTACTTGTCAAAAGTGGCAATTCTTGGGGCACCTGGGTGGCTCATTGGGTTAAAGCCTTTGCCTTCGGCTCAGGTCATGATGCCAGGGTCCTGGGATCAAGCCCGCATTGGGCTCTCTGCTCGGCGGGGAGACTGCCTCTACCCCCCGCTGCCTGCCTCTCTGCCTACCTAAGATTTCTGTCAAATAAATAAATAAATCTTAAAAAAAAAAAGTGGCAGTTCTTTCTAAATTATACATTAAAACAGTTTTTATTTTGGTCTCCAAACTTCAGAGGTCTTAGAATCACTGGCCTGTATCATATGGTACCTAATACCTTATGGCACATGTGATGGTTTGGTTTTGAAATACTTAATGAATTTCATCTCTTATGCTACCCCAGTTGATTGATTGAGGCTCTGTGAGGACTTGATGTAGAAGTCTTGTGTGATCAAGTTTGTACTAAGCTGAAGACACATTCCGTTAGCAGAATACCCTCTGTGCAAGGGATGAATGATATCCTGATCTGGTCCACTCCTCCTTATTCAGCTTTGCAGCTTCTGCTTTTCCATGTGTGCAAGGTTCATTCTGTAGAATTACCATGAACTAATGTAGTTCCCTGAAAGCATGCTGTATGCTTCTTGTAATTGAAGCATAAAAGAAAAAGACACTTTCAGCAATTATGGTTGAAATACTATGTTCTTACAACCTACATTTTTAAGGTAATGAACTAATCCTTACCCTTTTTATGCCTTATATTGAATAAACTGCTTAACCAATTAAAGAAATTAGGGGGAAGTAAAATAGTTTGTACATTCTGAGTGATTTTTGTGTTATGGATTGTTTGTGTGTATATACTTACATGTTAATGGAGAAAAACTTGAGCTAAGAGTTTTAATATGTACTGTGTTTAATATGTACTCATTTATCTGTTTCTTGCTTCACTGATAAAAAAACTTTCAGGTCAGAATTTTTTTCTAAATACCGTTTATTAGTGATGTATGAAGCGGGGAACATACTTCCCCTTCTGCCTGCTGCTCCCGCATTTGCTCAGTCTCTTTCTCTCTCTGACAGATAAAAAAATAAAATCTTTAAAAAAGAAAACAGAAAAATCTTGTTTTTATAGTAGTTTTCCTAATAAGTTTATATAATAGTATTCTTCTGGTGTTCTGTTCACTTCTAGGACTAGGAAACCAGTTCCACAGGAGTTGGAAATAGTAAACCAAGATAACAAAATGATTATAAGATTTTTGTTTTGCTCTTCAGTTTTTCCTGACCAGCTGTTTTATATATACAGTTACATGGAAGAATTAATCTAAATCAGATTGATTACCCAGCAAAGTCCAATTACAGTATAAAGTAAAGGGACACATGGGTAGGAGGGAACAAAGACTACAAAAAACCTACATGGTAGAAAAATTTGTGCTTATGAGGAATGAGTGAAATTGGGGATTAAATTTAATAGACCAAAAGCAAGCATTCTGTTCTTCCATCAAAACACTTTTATTTTTTTAAACTTACAGTCTACATCAGCATCAGCATCTGCATCACCATTTCAGTCTACATGGTATAGTGAATCTGAGATAACTCAGGGAGCACGATCAAGATCACAAAACCAGCAACGGGATCATGATTCAAAAAGACCTAAACTTTCCTGCACAAACTGTACATCTACCTCAGTTGGGAGAAATATTGGACATGGTTTAAATGCAGTATCAGGTAAAAATTAAATCTGTTTAAGAGTCACTATATATGCATTTTGGATTAAAGCCCTTTTTCCAAGACGTAGTATTAAGCAAGTAAAATACATGTAAGATAGTGGGTCAGATGTAGTCAAGTTTCTTAGGTCTTACCTTAAGTTAGTGCTACAACTGAAATAAACTCTTTCATTCTGGATTTTTATTCTAAATTTGATGCAAATATCCTACACAAACAGGATTAGCATATTTTGGTTAATTAGAATAGCTGATATGTCTGGTAATCAAATTGGTAAAAGTGACCTATATTTTGCTGGTTATTATGAGAAGTCAGTTTTTTAATTGTTATACTAGGAAAGCCAATTTTACTGATAAATATATTAATATTTCCTAACCTAAGCTTATCTTTTGTAAATGTTGTGGTCTATACTTACTTTTCAAAAAACAGAAATTCTTTAAACAAAAATAGTTGGTATTCTAGTAGGAGTTCTGTATAAGGATTCTGAAAGAATTCTAGCCATCTAACTAGCTATATGGCTATATAAGCCAGTTAACCATTCTGAAATTTAGATGTCTTATTGATAAAGTTCCATATATGGTATTTTGTACTCACAGACACACATTTGTTGCACAAATTGAAAAGCACTTTCTTTTCTGTAAGAGGTCAGGAGGCTCCCTTCTCACTTACACTCCTCTTCAAATGAAACACCAGGGAATGCCTGACATAGTTTTAAGGTGAGACAGAATTTGTGATGACACAGTTGGAAGATAAAATTCCTGAAATGCTTATGTATTATCAATCGAATTAGTGTAAGGATTCCTTTCTATTTTGATAGGCAGGACCGCCTTGGGAAAGACAATGCCCATCTGAAGAATATTAAGAGTAGTGTGATGGGTAAGAGCAGACTGTCCTTAACACTGTAGAGAAACACCTTTGTGCACAGATATTTTTGGTCCCTTCTACTCTGTGAAGGCATAGCATTACATACTTTGGGCCATTTCCCTTAATGAGGAGGAATCAATAAGGCTATTGGGACTAGGAAAGGAAGAACCAAAATTTTCAGGGTAAATAAGGGGGAAAGTTTTGAGACTTAAACCTTTAATTTATTTTGTTAGATATGATTTCATTTAAAAATTTAGATTATGATTGCAACAGTACTTCTTAGAATGAGAGTGAACCAAGTGTGATGTCAGTGGTAATATTTCTGATAAAATATCGTCAATGTCTGTAGTAAAACATTTTCCATTTTGAGATGGCTTGATTTGGATTTTGGCTGTTCTCTCCAAGATCACTTTCATTGACTTCAGGAAATTCTGCATCTTTGGCAAACTTCACATTTTTGTTCTGTAATCATTTTACATTATGCTTACATTGTGTGGTCAGATGTTCTAGAAAGTAACTGAGACATTGACATCACAGATGGTGTTAGGTTTTAGTGTTAGAGAAGAATGTGTTTGAGTAGGAAATAATATATGAGTGATGAGTTCACTGATGAATAATTTTATGTTTTGCTGAATTTGGCTTCTGATTGCAACTATGTAACCTTGAAGATTCCTATAATGGATCACAATAACCTCCCTGTGTAATACTGAAGATTTGTCATCAGAAACCTTGAAAGCTTTCTCTGAATTAAAATGTCTTCGATTATTTTAAGATTCTTCATGGAGACATAATCAGGTTCCCAGATCTTCATCAATGGTACTTGGATCATTTGGAACTGACTTAATGAGAGAGAGAAGAGATTTAGAGAGAAGAGCAGATTCTTCCATTAGTAATCTTATGGATTATAGTCACCGAAGTGGTGATTTCACAGCTTCGTCCTGTAAGTGTAAATTGTATTGTTATGTATAACTTATCTAATAATGTTATATTTCTCTCTTCGTGTAAGTCATTAAAATCATAGTACAAATAAGTACATGAAGTGCATCTTACGGAGAATTCAAAATAGCTTAGTATGTATTCTGGTACCTTATTTGTTATATATATGTATATATATATATATATATATATTTTTTTTTTTTTAAAGATTTTATTTATTTATTTGACAGGCAGAGATCACAAGTAGGCAGAGAAGCAGGCAGAGAGAGAGGGGGAAGCAGGCTCCCTGCTGAGCAGAGAGCCCGATGCGGGGCTCTATCCCAGGACCCTGAGATCATGACCTGAGCTGAAGGCAGAGGCTTTAACCCACTGAGCCACCCAGGCACCCCTATTTGTTATATTTTAAAAAATAAAAAGTTTAGGGGCGCCTGGGTGGCTCAGTGGGTTAAGCCTCTGCCTTCGGCTCACATCATGATCCCAGGGTCCTGGGATCGAGCCCCACATCAGGCTCTCTGCTCAGCGGGGAGTCATCTTCCCTGCCCCCTGCTTGCCGCCTTCTTACTTGTGATCTCTGTCAAATAAATAAATTCTTTACAATTAAATAAATAAATAAATAAATAAAATAAAAAATTTAAAACAGATGTAAATTCGTATCTGGGTTCTGTCTCCCGGTAATTTTCTTACTTGTGCTTTTCCTTTTAAGAATGCATATATTCTAAAGTAAACTAAATAATTTTTATATGCCCCAATATCATTTGTCTTGTACAGTTGAGCCTTGAACAGTGCAGGGGTGAGGGAACTGACCCCTATTTCCACCCGTCCTCCAGTATTGGTACTTGAAAAATCTGTGTATAACTTTTGAATCCCCCAAAACTTTAGTACTCAAACTGTACTGCTGACTGGAAGCCTTACCAAAAACATGAGCAGTTGACACATTTTTTTTTAATGTTATATGTATTATGTATGCATTCTTAAAGCTAGAAAAAATGTTAAGAAAATCATAAGGAAGAGACAATACATACATAATACCTACTGTGTTTACTGAAAAAAATCCACAAGTAAGTGGACCTGTACAGATCAAACCCATGTTGTCCAGGGGTTAACTATGTAGTGTAGTAACTACTTATAGTTAAATTCTGACCTAATTAAAGCTTGAAATCAACATTTTTTTGAAATCAACATTTTAAGGCATAATTTAGAATTACTTTTGTTTAATGTGAATGTGCCTTTTTCATTCACTTAAAATAAAGACCCACACTAGTTCTGTCAGAGTACATTAAGCTTAAGTTTTTCAAAATTAAATACCATAAAACAAAAATACTAGAAAAACAAAGTGCTTATTGAAGTTGACAGATCTAGCAGGCAAAAGTAGAGTTTGATTTACATAGAAGAAAATACATTTGTTCTTAAAAGGTGTAGGTTTTAGGGGCGCCTGGGTGGCTCAGTGGGTTAAAGCCTCTGCCTTCGGCTCAGGTCATGTTCCCAGCGTCCTGGGATCGAGCCCCGCATTGGGCTCTCTGCTCAACAGGGAGCCTGCTTCCTCCTCTCTCTCTCTCTCTGCCTGCCTCTCTGCCTACTTGTGATCTCTGTCTGTCAAATAAATAAATAAAAATCTTCAAAAAAATAAAATCTAAAAAAAAAGTGTAGGTTTTATTAAATAAGCTTATTGTGGCAAGCCTTTGCTTAAGACCAGTGAAAACATCTTTTTATTTGCTTGGGTTCAAATAGAGGAGCTGTAGTGTATAGTATCAATACCATCTATGATTGGAGGTCTACAAGTATAGGATAGAATAGATTGAGCCACTAACAGTTTATTCCTTCATGAGGCTCCATGTGCTAGTGCAGCAGCATTTTTTACTCTTAAGCTAAGTGTATGCATAAGTATTCTTTTATAAAGGGATGCAAAAGTATTTCTCATCCCATTTCAAGATTTGAACCACCAGTGGTATAGTTTTCAGAACTGCAGCTACCAGGACCCTATTCTAACTTAGAGCTCCCAGCAAGTATTTAGAAGTAGAGGTGTGTCTGATGAGTAACCAGAGATAACATCCACTGCTCTTATTTTGAAAGAAAAAAGATTGGAGAAAGTTTAGCTGTTAGCGGTTTGCCATAAAATTATAAGGATGATAAATATTTGTGTGAAATAAGTTTTATGCTTATTGCAGAGTAAGAAGAATTTCCAAAAACACTGTCTCCCTAGGATTATTTTGCCTTTATTTGTTAGAATCATTTATGGTGAATTATTTGTCCCATTTAAAATTTCTTGTCCATTTAGATACTATTTTACCATATCAATTTCTGATTAACAAATTGTGACTGTTATACCTTCAACAAGTTAGTAGATTTAGATGTTTGTTTCATAAGCTGTGACACACTTCTTTCTTTTCAGTTTGCAGTGTTGACTTAGCAGTAATACTGTATTTTATCAAAGGTATAGAAAGAGAAATATATGTTTTTTCCTATAATAGTTAAGATGTATATTTATAATATAGCAGTATTTGGTTTGAATCCAGTGTTTCAGTTTGCAGTAATTAATAAATGCAAATTTAATAATACTCCAATTTTATTTCATGTAATTGGTATCTTTCTTTTCTTTCAAAAATAGATGTTCAAGACAGAGTTCCTTCTTCATATTCACAGGGAGCAAGACCAAAAGATCACTCCATGAGCACTTTACAGTTGAATACATCATCTACAAACCACCAAATGCCTTCTGAACATCAGACCATAACATGTTCTAGGGACTCCAGTAGAAATTCTCTAAGATCAAATTTTTCTCCAAGAGAATTGGAATCTCCCCAAAGCAGTACACAACCTGGATTTTCTTATATTTCAAATAGAGATGAAACCTCAACCATAAGCAGTTCAGATAGGGTTGGTTCATCTCAAAGATCATTTCAAGAATCTTCTGACAATGAAGGTAGACGTTCAACCAGGAGATTGCTGTCGCGTATAGCTTCTAGTATGTCATCTACCTTTTTTTCACGAAGATCTAGCCAGGATTCCTTGAATACAAGGTCGTTGAGTTCTGAAAATTCCTGTGTGTCTCCAAGAATCTTGACAGCTTCACAGTCTCGTAGCAATGCAGCATCATCTTCTGATGTCCCTGATAATAGGGCATCTGAAGCTTCTCAGGGATTTCGATTTCTTAGGCGAAGATGGGGTTTGTCCTCTCTTAGCCAAAATCATAGCTCTGAGCCAGATTCAGAAAATTTTAACCAGGAACCTGAAGGTAGAAATACAGGACCATGGTTATCTTCCTCACTTAGAAATAGATGCACACCTTTGTTCTCTAGAAGGAGACGAGAGGGACGAGATGAATCTTCAAGGATACCTACCTCTGATATACCACCTAGATCTCATCATATGTTTAGAAGAGAATCAAATGAAGTGGTTCACCTTGAAGCACAGAGTGATCCTGTTGGGGCTACTGCCAGCAGATCACAGGCATCTGCGGCTTCGAGTAATGCTGCTACTGGTGGCTCCACATCAGATTCAGCCCACAGTGGAAGAAATACAGGAATAACGGGGATCCTTCCTGGTTCCTTATTTCGATTTGCAGTCCCCCCAGCACTTGGAAATAATTTAACCGACAATGTCATGATCACTGTAGATATTATTCCTTCAGGTTGGAGTTCATCTGATGGAAAAAGTGATAAAACTAAAAGTGCACCTTCAAGGGACCCAGAAAGACTGCAGAAAATAAAAGAGAGGTAAATTTGAATACCTGTCATAAGTTGATAAAGCAAAGAGCAGATTAGAGGAAGGAGTCCTTTTCTAAAATGGCTTCTCATAACATTGGTATCTAAGATTTCTTCTCCTTAAAATTTATATCCACTGAGATGTTAGGTTCTCAAAGGAAATGGATGAGAATAATGAAGGTAGACACTGGGAGTATAGATTGCATCAAGAAATTGTCTAAAGATTATTTTTAACCAGCTTTTGATAAAGATGGACAAAAGACAAAACTCTTAATCTCTTATCCTCTTTCTTGATAGACTGCTGCTAAATGGGATTGGTAAAGGGGCCTCAGTGGTCATGGATTATCAAAACAATCTGTCTAGCCTTTAGTAAGATTTATTTACCATTTATCTGTATTATCTCAGACTCTTTTTTGGAATGAGGTAAAAATCATTTACACAAATTATTTTATTTTTGAAGTCCAGGTATATACTGAATATTCTTTGTATATTATGAATATTTGATGGAAATACTAGTTTAAATTCAGGACTTAAAATCTTCTTATGCAAATGTATCTTTGTAACGTTGAAGATTGCTAAAAAATCTCTGGTAAGAGAGTAAAGATGAAAAATCAGAAATTTTAGTCCCAACTTGATTATTTTGTCATGTTATGTACTTCGTTTTTCAATCTGTTAAGATAATTTTTATAAAAAATAATTTTCCTGATAAAAACAGATTAGGATAGTACATGTAAAACACACTTATAAGAAGAAAAGACTTAGGTAAAGTGAAGGCTGTGGGGTATTCTGCGTTTTTGTTTTTTCTTGTTCATAAAGGCCTAATGTAACGGCATTGTTGGGAATCATAGTTGTTACTGTCGTTTTAGATTTCTTTTTTTTTTTTTTTTAAAGAACAAATACATTCAAATCTAAACCTCTGGGGATAAGGGGAGCCTAAGATGTTGGACATTAGGCCACTATATTCCCTTTTTTCTTTAAGTAGGACAAATTGTACCATGGGACTCTTCTCTTCCTGCACTTAAAATTTGCTGTTTTTCCTTGGAGAAAGATTCACTCACTGCCCTGATAGTGTTAGCTTTAATGTCATTATAGCAACTTCCTCTCATTACAAGCTGGCTGCTGAGGAATTCAGTAACCAGTGATATAAACAGAGAGCAAAGCAATAGTTTAGTAATTTCCAGAGAGAAATTAAGCCAGCACCACTCTGTCTGATTAGATAGTTTATAAAGCAGCATTTGTTGGTTATTTTATCATAGAGACTGTGTGTATTCCTTTATTACATATTTTGCTCATACCTGAAGATTTTAAGACACTTCACAGGTAAATGAATAAGAATCTAAAAAATCGAACCCCCCTCCAAGTAAAAAAAAAAAAAAAAATTGAAACTGTAAGCCAAAGAAGGTTAAATCTGAAGGTAAAACATAAATATTTATGGTTGAGGTTATTTCTCTGGTCCAGTCAGAGCATGATAGTCACCTAATTGTTGTACATCTAATCCTCTTTCCACATATCTTTTTCTAAACTCATTAGGAACCTGTATAATCCACTTGTATTTCAGTAGCAGTTTAAGCATTCAGTTGTGAGTACTCTTTCATTCCAGCAATAGACTAAGGTAATGGGGATTTTAACAAAAAATTATATATATACACACAAAGCTATCATCTTGCATTAAATTAAGCAGTACATGTTGGCCTATTAAATAAAGAACATAGGTTAATGGAAAGTCTTCACACTTTAAAAGCCTGCCCTATAAAAATCAGGATAATTGAATAACATTGCTGTGGGTGGGGGAAATGGAGAATTTAAAAACCTGTTGTCTTTTACTGTGATTAAATACAGAAAGTTTTATCAGTTTAAATATATGTGGTTCTGATAGCATGTAAATGAAAAAAACAAGTCATTATTTATTGACTTTTTTTGGGAGGTGGGGGAGAAAAGTGTTAAGTATGTAAGTATATTCCTTTATACTGTTGGAATCGAAGGTAGTCTGTGATACTATAGAAATTAAAATCTCTTAGGTATGTTTGTAAAGTGATCATGAAAAATAAGAAACTTAAAGTGTGATATCAAAGAGAAAATTACTTAAAGCATTTGAAGATAGTAGGATATACCCTGTTCTGTTTATCTTTAAAATATAATTTTCATTCTTACTGAACTGTTTTTTTTATGGTGGTCGCTGTTTTTTAAGGTTTTTGCTTTTTTCTACTCAGAACATGAGTAGAAATAACAAAGATGTTGTTCGAGATAGGTATGTTTGGAAATGACCGACCAGGATGAGTTATCATAGCTGTGTTTATGAAATGTTCCTTCTTTTCTAGCCTCCTTTTAGAGGATTCTGAAGAAGAAGAAGGTGACTTATGTAGAATTTGTCAGATGGCAGCTGCATCATCATCTAACTTGTTGATAGAGCCATGCAAGTGCACAGGAAGTTTGCAGTATGTCCACCAAGAGTGTATGAAAAAGTGGTTACAGGCCAAAATTAACTCTGGTGAGATTTATCTTTTTATGTATTTTATTTTCCAGTTTTTCTAAGAGATGTACATACAAATGTATTTTAGTTAGCAAATCTGATTATAATTCATTGTCAGAGTTACACTCTTTTCAAAAGAATGTTTTTGAAGCAAAAGCGTTAAAGAGCACTCATTAGGGGATGTCTGGGTGGCTCAGTGGGTTAAGCTGCTGCCTTAGCTCAGGTCATGATCCCAAGGTTCTGGGATCCAGCCCCGCATCGGGCTCTCTGCTCAGCAGGGAGCCTGCTTCTCTCTCTCTCTCTCTCTCTCTGCCTGCTTGTGATCTCTATCAAATAAATAAATAAAATCTTAAAAAAAAAAAAAAGAAGCGCACTCATTAGTTTTGCTTCGTAAATTTTTCATAGTGTTTCTTGTATTTTATTAACCCAACAAACTACTTTTTCATAGATGTTTGGTAACTATAATTGATTATCACAGTTGATCCTTATGTCATGTAAGATCTTTCTGAAGGGGGCACCTGGGTGGCTCAGTGGGTTAAAGCCTCTGCCTTCAGCTCAGGTCATGATCCCAGGGTCCTGGGATCAAGCCCCGCATCAGGCTCTCCACTCAGCGAGGAGCCTGCTTCCTCCTCTCTGTCTCTTCCTGTCTGTCTACTTGTGATCTCTGTCTGTCAAATAAATAAAAAAAATCTTTAAAAAAAAAAGATCTTTCTGAAGAAGTCATGCTTACTGTTTACCAGCTATGTGGCCTTGAGAAATACTTGTTTCTAATGCTGTTGTGGAGTAGTAATAAGGTTACTATAGGGATTCATTGTTAATTGAGTACCCATTAGGGAGCCAGGCACAGTTCTAGGTGTGGGATCTAGAATGGTAAACAGGACAGACAAGGCACTTGCTTTTGTGGTGGTATGGGGCGTTAAAGGGATGCCTTGATGAGGTGAGAATATTTAAACTGAACAAAGAGGAGCTAGCTGTTCCAAAATGAGGGCAAGAGCATTCCAGTTGAGGAAACTTCTAGTGTGAAAACTTTCAGGTGGTAGGTAATATGACAGGTGTATTTGAGGAACTGAATGAAATGCAGTGTGGCAGGAGTATAATTAGTGGACAAGGAGAGGGGTGATAGTTGAGATTAGAGAGATTAGCAGAGGTTATGTCATTTAAGACTTTTTTAAAACTAATGTCTGAAATTTAGATTTTTGTCTAAGTGTGATGGGAAGCCACTGAAAGGCAGGGGAGTGAAATGATTTTATTTGGCTGCTTTGTGGAGAATGGATTTTAGGGGGACAAGAATAGAGGCGGGGAGTTCATCCAGGAATCTATCTTACAAGAGACGGTGAGTGGAAATGGTTGGATTCTGGTGTGTTGGGAGGTAGATTCTGTATGACTTGCCAATAGATTGGATGTGGTGAAGGAGAAGGAACAGTTTGAGAAGTTTGTATTTTTTGTATTTTTGTGTCGAACAACTAAGTACATGGTGGGGCCATTTCCTGAACTTAAAGAGTAGGAGTGGAATAAGTGTGGGGCAGGAAATAAAGAATTCTGTTTTAGATGTAAACTGCTTATTAGAAAACCATCTGAAAATGTGATCTAGGCAGTTAGCTAGACAAACCTGTTGTTTCAGGAAATCATTAGTGCTGAAAGTTACATTTTGGGGAATTAGAGCATGTAAGTAGTAATTTTAAGCTATGGGATTAAATAAAGTCCCTAGACCAAGAATAGGTATCAAAGGAGTAAGGCCAGGACAGAGGCCTGAGGCACCCACGTATTTAGTGGGAGCAGAGGAGATCTGAGAAGCAGCCTCAGTCTGGTAGGAAGAAAACCAAGAAAATGCAGTGTTGTGTAAGCCAGAAGAAGAAAGTGTTCTAAAGAGGGTATGATCAGACATACCAAGTATCACAAAGAGATTCGAACAAAGAAATGGCAATTGGTAGCATGAATGTCCTTGGTGGTTTCAGTTTTTGTGGAGTGATGGAATCATGAGCATGATTAATAGAAAACAAGGTAAGACAGGAAACAGCCACATAGACCCCTCTTCCGGTAAGCTTTATTGTTAAGGAGACTGGTGATAAGGTGGAGGAATTAGGGAGTAAAATGGGGTCATAGGGTATGTTTTTGTTTCAGTTTCAAGTGGGAGATTTTAGGGCATGTTTTATTTTAATGAAAGATAAAATGGAAGGAAAAAGATTTTAGCCTTTAATAGGAAAAAAAATTACTTTGTATCTACAAGGCTGGTGTAGATATGAATGTTGATCAGTTTGTTGCTTTAATGAGAGGATACTTGCTTGAATTCCTGTATAATTGCTTCTGTTTTCTTAATAAAAGGAGGTAAGGTCTTTAGCTGATTGGAGGACAGGTAAAGAGATTTTGATGTGTAGGGAAAATAATACTTAAAAACATTTTTAGGGTTCTGGAAGTACTAGTGTCCATAAAAATCTGTGGCTGTGAATATGATTTAAAAGTGAGATGTACATTTTTTAGAAGCAGTTTTCAGATGGTTGGATATAGACAGGGATTTGGGGTCGCTGGTGTTGGGACTTTTGCTAGGCAAATATGATGAAGGGAGTTAAGGATATTCGTAAGGACATAGTTGTGATGGCCATGGAAATTAAAATCAAGAGGGGGAGTAAGGACATCAGAAAGTGGTGTAGGGTTAGAAGTCTTTGAGTCTCATTGACATTGAAGACAATTTGCCAGAGTAGGTAAACTGGACTGATGAGAAATTTTAGGTACACTGGAGTAAATGCCTAAAATACAGATTTAGGGGTAGTGCAGTAAACTATGATGATACAGTCAAGGATATGACCATAGTGGGTGGTGGGGTGGGGAAGGGTGATACTTAGAAGCATGGATATTGAGGAAGTGTGTGTGGATATTGAAATAGCCAAGAAGTAAGTTGATAAAGATGGAAAGCCAGGTGCTAAAGTTATTAATGAAAGAGGAGGGACTTAGAGTTTCAAAATAGCAATAGGTATGGGGTTATTTATTTCTACTTCTTGGTCCTGAGGTATAAAGGGTTGTGGGAAAAAAGTATGTAACAGTCTAGAAGGGCACTGTGATTTAGGTGTGAAGTTGAAGAGATTAATCCAAAAAGAGACTGGTTATGAGAGAAGTTTAGACCATGAGTACCAGAGAACATAGTAAAAATAACTAGTAGAGTGAGTAGGGTGGGAAATTAGATCAGATTAATAAATGGACACAGTATGAGATTGACAGTCTTGCAGTTGGTGACTTAGGAAAATCATTTGTGAGGTATGATGGCATTAATACTAATTTTAATAATCTTTTGAAAGAGTTGGGAAACCTGTTCAAGCTAGAGATTATGAGGCTCTTGGGAAAATTTTGTTTCTGTGTAGCTAGGTAGCCAAGGCCTCCTTGGGGTAGGGGGTTTATGTTTTGTTTTAAGGTAGTCTGATTGCAAAGCTGTAGGACAGATGAGTCTGATTTAGTAGCAGCCTTTTCTTAGCTGTATGGTGTTACAACAGCCTCTTGGCTTTGTTATCACTGCCCTAGGGCCTTACTAAGATGAAATGAGTGCTTGTCATGGAAGCATTGCTTCTTGACAGTCAGGACCCAGGAATGTTAGCCGTTACCAGAATGAAAAACAGTGTGATTCACCTTCTGATAATATTTGCAGTTAGATTGTTAGTGTTGTGTAGGCAGAAAAACAGATAATACAGTGTTAAGAACATTGGCATTTTGGAATTAGATGAGATTGGCATAATGGCTCTAACACTTACCTGGAAGATCTCGAGTAGGTTTTTTAACATTGGTTCTCAATGCTGGCTGCTGGTCACAATTAACCTAGTAGAGTTTTTAGATACAAAGATGCCTAGATCTAGTTTTAGACACTCTTAAGTAGTTCTGGGATTGGGCCTCAGTTCCATTATGAGTAGAACTAGTAGTATTTACCACACAGGGTTGTTGTGAAAGTCAAATGAGATGATGTTTATAGTTTCTCACAGTACTGGGCATGTGGCAAATACTCAATTTGATGGGTTTTATCAGGTTATAATGGTACTTTCTAAGATACGGTCAAATGAATATAAAGATCTCAAGATCTGAACCTTCCTGACAAATTTTCACAAGCCTTTCTCATACTTACATAAAGACCCGTCTGGTAGAAGATTCATTCTGGTAGAGATTGATAAAAACATTTATTAAGCAGCTGCCATGTGTGTACTGTTAAATTCTGCAGGATGTGCAGAGATGTATAAAGCAAGTTTATAGACATAAGAGTTTAGACAAATGCAGTCAGGGCCTACTGAATGAGGTGGAGTATACGTGGAAAGAGTCACTAAACAATGTAGGTATAAATGGACTTTTCCCAGCTACATATGACCTTTTTGAATGTTCTAGAAGCCTCTTAATTCCTAGAAGAGAAGAAACGAATCCCTAAGATGTGTAACAATTTGTACTACATGGTGTGTCTCCAAGGTCCATATTATATAATAATACTTTGCTTCTGAATCAGAAGATAGTTTTAGGAAATGTCTGCTAAATTTTATCTTTCACATTCTTTATATTCTCCTTCAGATCCTAATACGAACTTTCCCTGAATTTAGTTCAGTTAGTGGTACAATATTAATTTTTTTATTAAAATATTCCAGATGGCATTTTAATTTCAAAATCTTTAAGTATGTTAGACTCCTAAAATAGCAGCAACTGTCACAACTAGTTTTTATTCATGCCTTGAAATACTGTGAATATCTTTTGTAGTTTGACTACAGGACATTTTGAGACAACATATTACCTCATAATAGCACTCACTTTCTGTTAGGTATTTTCAAAAGAAAATGCATATAAATTACAATTGCTGTCTTGGACTTCATGCCAGATTTACTGTTTTAAGAGGTATAAGAGCTCCTTGAAGACAACAGGGTTTACTACCTTTTCCTTCTAAATCTTAGCACATAACAAAGACAACAAATGTTAGTTGAATTGAATCTAAACCTCTACCCTGTTAATCACATGACTTCTTAAACTTTTAGGACATCTTTTTCAGTTTAAAGCTCTATCTAAAAATAAAAATGGTGGGGTGGAGGTGTGAAAATGGCTATGTTTAATTAGACTATCACCTATTAGACCCAGAAGCTGAGGAGTAACCAATAACTGAATGCATATGGGATAGAAGGAGCTTTTTTTTTTCCTTTTAATTTTGATAAACTATATATATATAATTTTCCTTTTGACCATTATTAAGTGTACAGCTCAGTAACATTGAATACATTCAGAATGCTGTGTGACCATCACCACTACCCGCTTGAAAAATTTTATCATCACCCCAAACAAAAACTGTATCCATTAAGTAGCAAGTTCCACCTCTCCCTTCTCCTCAGTCCCTGGTAATTTACTCATTTTCTCTCTGAATTTGCTTGTTCTACATAATTCATATAAATAGAATCATATTATAATATTTGTCCTTTTTGTATCTGCTTTATTTTACTTAGCAAGTTTTCAGGGTTCATCGGTGTTGTAGCATGTATCAGAACTTCGTTCCTTTTATGGTTGAAAGGACAGAAGTGGATTCCTTTTTTCCCCTCATTAGGGAAGGTACATTTCTTAGCGCTCAAAAGGTCTATGTTGTCATATCAAAGATACTGGCCTGAGTATAGGGTAACTCACTGTTTGGGATACTGTATTACTTAAAATTGTTTTCATGGCATCCTGTCAAGGTACTTGAGGAAGTGGGAAGTACAGATGACATTCCATTGTCAGCTTCCCACCATCACGGGTGGGGATGTATGTGCATTTCTGGGAGGCAAAAAACAATAGAAACCTAAATATTGGGCTGGGCCTAAATACCGTAGATGAGGACCTGACAAGCACATCAGTGTTACCAATGTAGTCTTACTTCCTTTCTATATATTGATTATATATATTGATACATAGAATATATATCTTAATATGTAGAATGTATATATATTTTGATTATATATTGATATATAGAGTATATACTTATATTCTAAGCTTAAAACTTAACAAGGAGGGGTGCCTGCGTTGTTCAGTTGGTTAAGCAGCTGCTTTTGGCTCAGGTCATGATCTCAGTGTCCTGGGATCAACCCCCACATTGGTCTCCCTGCTCCATGGGGAGTCTGCTTTTCTCTCCGCCTCTTTTCCACCTCCCACCCTGCTCAGGCTCGCTCTCTCAAATAAAATCCTTTTCAAAAAGAACTTTACAAAGAAAAATGTTTGTGGAGACATAAACTTTTACTTTTGATTTTACCAGGTTCTTCGTTAGAGGCCGTAACCACCTGTGAACTCTGTAAAGAGAAGTTGCAGCTTAACCTGGAGGATTTTGATATTCATGAACTACATAGAGCTCATGCAAATGAACAAGTTAGTATATTTTGCCTAATTTGGTAAGTGTCTATTCTATGCTTAAAGGACAACTCTTGAAGAAAAGATTAAATCATGGTCAGAAAACCGACATTGAAATAATAATAGTAATGGTTTTAATAAAATTCTCTGTTACTACATTAGGTATTATATGATTTTATAATTTTGTATTATTTTCCCCCTAAGTTTTTAAAGCAAAAGGCAAATAACCAAGTCACACATTCTGGGTTTAAAGTAAAATTCATCATACGTCTTTTAAATAAACCTGAAAATAATAAAAGCTTAGGAAGTTAGTTCCAAAGTAGTAATACCAACCTTCTCTCCCCATAGCTGTCTCAGTTGTGAATGCCTCTTGAGTACTGGAAAATAGTTAAAACACCAGTCCCCACATCTGCATCCTAGTTCTATACTTTTTATGTTAGGAATAATTTTTTTTATGAACCTATCTGATGCCCCTTGTTCTTACTCCTGTCTGGTTCCCTCTACCCTTCCTATTCCCCGCTTCCCCCGCCCTCTTCCTACTCCTACCTTTATGTTGAACGAGTTATCTTACATGAAGTCATTTATTCCAAGTTCACATTGTTTCTTTCCTTCAGTATTGTATCGTTACAGTCATGCTGTTAATTATATAATGAATAATGTTGGGATTTCTCTGATCATATTAAGATTTGATTTCAAATATTTTCCTCTCATTTCTCAGATTTTTTTGGTATGTATTGATTACTCCTCCCCACCCCCACCCTCCATTGATTTGATCAGTCTTTTTTCTTGAAGCTTAGAGCTCAGTTTTTTCCCCTTTTTAAAGGAAAATTCAGGGGAAGAGGGAAGATGTTGGAAGAGATTACAAAGGATGGCTCTAGGGCCATATTATCCAAGTGTGCTTAGCATAGTTTTGATAAAAAGAGAGATGATGATGAGAGAATGCATGAATGCTTGAAAAAGCACTTTTTAAATGAAGGAGTAATGAGCACCTTCCCTCCCCCCCCTTTTTTTAATTGAAGTGAAGTTTATGTAACATAACCATTTTAAGGTAAACAGTTTATTGGTACAAGTACATTTGCAGTGCTGTGCTACCATCACCTCCACCTAGTTCCAGGACATTTTCATCTCTAAAAGAAAATCCTATACCCATTAAGCAGTTGCTCCTTCCCCCTTCTCCCATCCCCTGGCAACCACCAATCTGTGTTCTGTCTCTATGGATTATCTGTTTTGGATATTTCATATAAATGGAAACATGCAATATATGATCTTTTGTGGGCATGCTTCACTTTTTTAAATGTGGGAATATGGATACCCTTTGAAAATCTGGATAAAACCAGAAACACACCTTGCAAAATATACATATACACAAAATCTGTATATAATTTTAGGGATTCCCAGATCTCTTGAAGCTAATTGCTTACATCCAGGTTAAGAGTCACTGATTTAATGAATGAAACATTAGGCAGTTGCTGTAGTACAGATATTACTCTAATGTTAATTAAATTGTTTTCCCCTTAGTGAAGCATACTCTAAAACGTACTCCAAAAGGAGTATCAGTCTGAGTAATGCATTGTCTTAAATTCTTAAGACGTCTCTGTAGATAGCTGGACATTGGTATTTTATAGAATTGGGGGGGGAGTATGGAAAGGTGGAGTAATGCAAAGAATTTTGTGATTTTTTTTTTTTTTTTGTATTTTTGTTCTTGTTTTTTTTTATCTTCTCAAAATTAGTGTAGGTTTCAAAGGATGGCTTTCTCCTGCCATTCTTTCTTAGGTGCTCCATCATGTCTCTTGAAGGTGGCTTTGACTTTCATCATAGCTAGGAATGTTTTTATTGTTCTTCAAGAATTTTAATGACCCACTTTTTAAATAATTTAGAGGTGTTAGGAAATACTGGGTGGAGTCATTATAAAAATGACAGTCGTGATTAAGTTTCCTGGCTTTAACATCTTTGTTCTTTGTGAATCATGGATTCTAGTGGCCTGACAACTACCTTCATTTTAAGTACAGTTTAGTTTTTCATTATCCAGTGCCTTCATCTTTTTCAAGGTGATAACCATTAAACTCTTTTTTTAAATCTCCTAGATAACATGATTACCTTTTAAGTTAAAAATAGGCAGTTTTTTTTAATGAATACTGAAGTATTTAGCGAAACTTTTAATCAAAATTTGAAATTTGTTGAGTATTCTGAAGAATCTGTAATCAGTAACTCGCTCAGGTTCGTACTAAGACCATACAGTTCTTAATTTCAGATAACTTTATTATGAGAAAATGATGCAATTTACAAATAGTTCACTGTTTAACAATTACATAACAGTTTAGATTTTTAATAATATTATATTCATGTTTTGTATTCTTAACTTCAAAACAGCAGAACAGCTTTAAACCAAAGAACTGTTTTTGCCCACTGCAAATTTCTATGCAAAGGATATCTGGAAGTTACTTTACTATGTTGTTGTTTTTTTTTTTTTTTCTTAAGATTTTATTTATTTATTCATGAGAGACAGAGGGAGAAGTGTGGACTCTCGATCTCAGGACTCTGGAATCATAACCTGAGCTGAAGACAGAGAGATGCTTAACTGACTTAGCCACCCAGGCGCCCTACTCCCTTTTTTCTTAAGTTCATTTTTGTATTTGCTGTTGCCTTGAAGTTAGTTAAATTACATAAGAAACACTTGACCTCAGAATAGGATTTTAGTTATGTAATATATTGATATAGCTATAGATGAAATGCTAATTTTTAAGTAAACAGTTACAGCCATCTGTGCAAAGAAATCTATTTTGAGCTTTATAGGGAACCAGAGCATTTATTTTACCATCACATGATTTTTTTCCCCACTTTTATATAAATAATTACATAAAGGAAAACTATATGAGAATAAAGAACACCCATTTGAACACATTATATAACATTAGTAAAATTTTTCGAAACTACGAGGGATAGCGTTTTATTTCTTTTTTAATAGATGGCACTGTATCTCTTCCTGGAAACTGATTACAAATACATTTCCTCTAGTTTATCAGTATACTGAGTATCAAATCTCATTCTACTAATTTTTCATTCTCCATATTTTTCTCGTTTGCTTCCCTGTTAAAGGCTGAGTATGAGTTTATCAGCTCTGGTCTCTACCTAGTTGTGTTATTGCACTTGTGCGAACAAAGCTTTTCTGATATGATGGGAAATACAAATGAGCCAAGCACGCGTGTCCGAGTAAGTAATATTGGAGTGGGGGGGAAGGGTGCGATGCTGCAAGTGTTTGCTTTGGAAAGCACATTGTTTTATATGTTCACATTCTATTTTGGGGGGGGAGCTCTTATATTAAAATGTATCTTAAAAATAAAGATATTATAGATTTAATAGAAATTGCTGTCTTCCTTACTTCTGTATCAAATAGTCTAATTTTTTTCATTAAGCTTTTTGTAGAAGTAATTTTCTAGCTCTTGAAGGTAATTGGAATATATTTCAGTGAAAAACGGGGATGAATTGAAAACACCTAGAGGAAATGCTCTTTTTAATTTGGAAAGGAACATCCAACTCATTATTACAACTTAGAAACCTGACATTGTGAAATTGAACTTCAAAAACCAGGAGTTTGGGAAATTAACTTCAATTTCATTTGTTAGTATCCTATAAAAGATTGCCAGTATACTAATTTTTAAGCATTCATATTACAAACTACTGAAGATACGGACTATTGTGTGTTTACGCTTAATTTAACACTTGAGCTAGCTGTCTTTTAGGTGCTTATAAGTAAAATGATACTAGTTACCTCAGTGTACCATAGGAAATTTATACTCTGCTGCCTGGCCCATTTAATGTGGCAGGGGCTAGGGTCTACATCTCATTACTCTAGCATTGTGAACACTTCATACCTTAAAACATTGTTCATAAAGATATATTTCAGACTTTTTAAAGTAAATGTTCACTCTGAGGATTAAAAATAGATCCGAGTTTTTGGTGAAATGTAAATCTGCTTGTGAATAGATTTGGTGAAATGTAAAATCTGTTTTATTTTGAAAATTATCAAATAACCAATACATATACTGTTTCTAATTGGTTAAAAAAAATATTTTTCCGTAATCATTATGTGAACATTATTGTGCCTTTTGGACAGATTAGTATCATTGAGAAAAAAAAGAATGAGCTATCAAGAGCATTCAGAATTTGAGCAGAGCTCTCTTGATTTCTAAGGCCTTAAGAAATCATAGAACCTAAATTTAGTAAGTGCTATAAAACTATTTCTTAAAAGGTGACTTGTCAAAATGAATAAACCTTATATAATGCATATAATAAGATCTGTTGGATGCCTTTGCGAAAGATACAAGTTATATTAAAGGGGAAGTTTTCACCAGATTAAAATACTTCTGGAGCTATCAAATTTAGGCAGGAAAATACTGGTTATTGTTCTTGTTTTATTCTGTTTTTTTTTTTTTTTAATTGACCACTAAAAGTGAATTCATTTGTGTCCAAATTGTAATGGTTTTAATTTTTTTCTCCACAATTTTTTGAGGTGTTGCAAGAAGACAGAGTGCCATTGGATTAATTTATTGTATCTGTTTTCAGTTTCTACATGATTCATGATATCTACATGGCCATTTATATAATGATTATATACAACATTTAAAAGATAATATCCTAAGCTTGTAATTTGTGATGTGGGGGTAGAAAGACCCCTATTTAAAGGCTTAAAATGGTGTTTGACTTTCTTAAGTAGAAATGAATCTCCTATACTAATCTCTTTTTAGATACATTTGCAACATTTAAACTACTGTATTTCTTTCTGCATTGTTTCTAGTTTATTAACCTTGCAAGAACTCTTCAGGCACATATGGAAGATCTCGAAAGTAGGTGGAATTTCCCCTTCCCAGACTTGTTGAATTTACTTTTGCAAATTAAACCCACAGAACAAAACCTAATCGTATATTCTTTCTACCAAATTAGAGCTTTATTTAAAGGCTTAATAATAGCAAAATAATTGATTTGGGAAAGATGGGTAGAGCAACTGACAGTTTTTTAAAAGCATGTATTTTTTTAAATTCTATTTTAAGGTATAGGATGTATTTTAAGTATTTTATTTTAAATAAAATTTTATTTTTGAATGTCTTAGTTTTAGAACTTTTAATCAAAAAGAAAACATTCACTGGTCAAACCACACTTCTAAATCTGTTCAATTTTTGTGTGTGTCTATGAAGTTTTACTTGTTACTCAGCTTTGTTAGATCACTAAAGGTTTTCCCTGGATTTGTTTGTAGTTCTAGGAAAATAAGGGTGAAAGATTCCTAATTCTGAGTCTATAACAGAAGCCATAGTTTTTTTTTGCTCCTTGTTCAGGTCCTCATGGACCTTTAATAGGCAGCCAGCTCCGCCAGCAGCTCCAATTTAAGATCACGTTCCAGCATTAGGACTTCTGCCTGGGCTCCTATGTGAAGGCACTTAATGCCCAAATCTTTACAGGCATCTGCACAGCTTAACCTCAAAGTCCTACAACCTCCAGGGTGCTTCATATCAGGTGGGCACAGATATCAGTAGCTCTGAAACAATCCCTGAGAATCCAAGATTACTGTACCTATTGTACTTTTTCACCCAAAGCAACTGGCTCCCCACGGTCAGATTCCATTACACTCTTTGAAGTGCTTTAAAATATGTATTCTCCACTGGATTATCTTCTGTACTCATCTTCAAAACACTTGGAGTGTTACCTGTAGTGTGCATAATTTTTTTACCTTTAGGGTAAGCTCAGCATCCTTTAAAGTTTGGGAAGGACTTGGTCTTCATGGGAACCTTTTAATGCCTTGAATATTCTAAGACACTGATTTTTGTCATTAAGTCTGTATTAAGTTTTGAGGGGATTAGAGGTTAGAGGTTCCACCAGATACTGCATTTTCACATTTCAGTATTTGTGAAAATGGTATATAAAGGAGTAAATGGTATATAAAATGTGAATTCATTGGGTATAAATACTTTTTCTTTTATACCTTCTTAGTTTAGATCCCTTGTGTTGTCTAACACAACAATATCTTTTTTGGTAAATTATAATTAATACTTTGCCAGATGTGATGATAGTGATTTGTTTCACTGTATATTTTCCTCAGATTGCTTGTTTCATTTTTTTTTTAATTAACATTCTCATTTAGAATTTAGTTTCTTAAACATAGCAGTGTCTACTCCCAGCGTGTGAGAAAGATGGAGGTGAAATACACCCAAATTCAGCTGTGAGTGACAGATGTGGGTGCTGCAGACTTAATCCTAAGTACCAGGATTTTCATATGTTCTAAGAGCTAGTTCTGACTGAATTTTCTTCTCCTATGGCTTTAATCAAATAGAAAACATGAGAATTTCCCTGAAGAGCTGTTTTATTTTTTAGTTTGATATTTTCTGTGATACAGCATAAAACAACTGCAGGATCTACTCATTTGTGAGCTAAGTACATGCTTGATAGCATTTATTAAAAATGGACTTAAGATTTCTGCAAGATAGGTAGACTAAGGGAACTTTAAGTTTCATCCATACATGTAGCATAATTTTTTTGTCGATTCCATTTGTTGGGTACTCTTAAATATTGGGTCCAGTATTAATACAAGAAGAGTCTATGTTTAACCTTTCTGCCCTTGATATTAGGGGAAATGCTAGTTGGGTGTTTATTTTAGTGAACTTCCATTTTTCTGAACACACAGAACAGTTTATAGAATACATAGTTTTTTACTTATGTCCTTCCTATTGACATTCCAGGATGTATATTTTAAACTTCTGAGCTACTTAATAATAAATTGATGTCAGAAACATTGCGCAAGTGATGTTTCTGACAATGTGGAGGCATAGGAATAATCTCAACAAAAGGTTTTTATTGAATCCAATTATTTTAACTTGGGCTGTGTCTATATAAAGCTTTTTTGGCTAAATAGAGCTTTTCTTGGCATTGTATAGACACAGCTTTGATGTAAATTGGAAGAACACCCATAACCTATTCTGTGTACATTTTTTTTCATTCTCATCGGATGCATCAAACATGCAGCAGTAATAAACCAGATTCTTCTCAGGTGTGTGAGAGCACTTGCCTTAAGTTCATTTTTTCTCTGGTGTCTGTATCATTAGCTACTATGAACACAGATTGATCTCAGTTGTTTAGAAGATGTTTCTTGAAGCGCATTTTTAAGCATTTTCATTTTTATAAAAACTAACCTAACAAAAAGATGTGGGGGTGGGAACATTGTGGATGGTCATCGCCCACAGACCACCCCTAACCCTGTCATTTACCATTTTGACCAAACAGTATACTAAATTGGGATTTTTATTTTACAAGTCATTGCTATTCTGGCTTCATATTTACACTTCCATTCTCATCCCCTTAAAATCATTCTTGATCATCCTGTTTTCTTTCAACAGCTTCAGAGGATGATTCCGAAGAAGATGGAGACCATAACAGAACATTTGATATTGCCTAACTTCATATAAGACAAATGGATGATCTGTGAACAAGTGTTTATTAAAAGTGGCAATTAAGTATGAATTAATTTTGTGGGGGAATGCCTATTGAATACATTGACTATATATATACACACGTGTGTATATATATTTATAATGAATATATATACACACACACAGATGTCCTGTGTGTGTGTATGTGTGTGTGTGTATATTCATTCTCAAGTATTGTTGAATTAAAATTTTGCTGGACCTTTTAACATGGCCAGTGAATCTGATGTTTGTAAACTGGTAATCAAAAAGTATTTTTCTTTTAGGTGAGTGGGAAAGTGTTACCCTTGTTTTAGATATCTAAGCAATGCTGACGACTCTTTTGTGTTCTGATTACTGTAGTCATATTTATTAAAAAAAAAAAAAGGTTCATGTTTTAGTCTCTTGCTAGTGAAAAAAAGTGGGACAAAATGGGCTTTTGAAATAAAATGGCAAATGGCACCTAATTATTTTTCCTTTCAAAATGCCTTCTGTTGCAGTCTCATTTTCATAATCATTTGCTTCCAGTGTTTCTAAAAAATCAATTGGTGGATAAGGTATGAAAGCATTATATTAGGTTTCCAAATTTAATATGAATTCTAAATTCATTTAGCAATAAAATCTAATTTTTAAAAAGTATATAAATATGAAATATAAATGATGGATAAATTTTTGTATTGATTTGCAAAATGCAGATTATATTTGATAGGCCATAGTATGTAGATATTCCTTTTAGGAATATTTCAGCTATAAAATATATCAGAATTGCCCATCAAATGTTATTTGGAAAAAATTATTGCACTCTAAAGTTAATGGAGTATTTTTAAATCCCACACTTAAAGTTCAAAACACTGGTTTTCGATGTGTTTTTTAGTGTTGTCACTTCTTTATAGAAAAATATATAAGTAACCTGTTTGGATCCTGGTCATTTTTAACTGTTCCTTGGTAATTCTGAGCTTTTATTTAGTGACTTAATGTTTTTCACTACTTTTGGAGAACAGATGAACATTACCTATTCACCATGAATAGCTCTACACTGTGGTCATGAGTTGTGTATACTTTCATAACACTGTATATTTCCTCTGTCAACAAGTGTATCTCTTAGGATACACTTCTGAACACCTTCAGGTGGTTTTCAAATTAAATAAAGTCTTATGTTATGGCAACGAACTACATTTTCAGAACCTAAGTAGAAACCATGTAATTTCTCAAACGTGAATCAACAGTTTGCCCACACATAGTTTGTTGGTCTTAATGTAAAACCTTGGCTGGAAATAAAGTGCATACTGATTGATTTACTTTATAGTTTGAAATGTTTCCTTTTAAATTGGTGCTCAAAGTAGACGTCAAACCCTAGAGCCAAGAACTTTATTAAAAAGTAAAATACGGTTTCATACAAAAATATATAACTCTTTCTAAAACATTGCTCAGCTCAGCAGTTACCTTTGCATTGCCTTAAAGAAAAAATACAAAATTTAATAATGCCAGTTTGAATATCTGTCATCTGGGTCTTTAAGGATGCTTTGAGTTTGAAACAGTTTCACTTTGAATAGAACTCAGCATGAAAATTTAAGTATCTTCTGCTTAACCCACAAAACTTTTTATTTAAAAAATTAAGTAGTAGAAAACACTCCATTGGCATGCAGTTTATAGTTTTGTAATGACAGAGATACGCAGTGGCTTGAGCTTTTATAGTATTCTTGTCGATCCTTAGTACCACTATTTCATATTTCAGTATTGTAAAAGCTTCCAGTAATTGTGAATTAGAGGGAATAAGGAAAGTCTTTTCATTTTCATTGGTTATTACTTTTAAACCCTAAACAGAGACCATATCCCATTCACTACAAGAATGCAAATTCCTAGGAAAATGAAGTTAAAAGTAATACTCTCTCTAGATACTTGCCAAATGTAAGAATTTATATTGTCCTTATTAGCTAGAACCAAGATGTTCAGAAAGGCCGTTTATACCTTCTGAATATAAACAAGCACGTTTATGTTATTCTTAATGTGAAAAATACAGATTTGAATGATCCAGTTAGCTGTTGACCACCGAATAGATACAAGGGCCTGTTAACAGATGTTCTGATATATGAAGAAAATTAAGATTTAACACTTCAATACCAGGGATCTCTAAGAACTTACTTGAAAGATGAAATAAAATATGGAAATCAGGTTAAAGAGGCCATTTTGGAAGAGCTGCCACTGGGTAGAAGTTATCAAAATGAACAGAAGAAAATCAGTTGTATGGGAGTTAAGTAGGAAGAGGAGATTCTAGAGCAGCACTGTCCGATAAAACTTTGTGATAATAGAAATGTTCTATAATTTGTTTTGCCCAATACAGTAGCTACAGTGACTGCATGTGTTTTGAGCATTTGAAGTGTGCCTAGTGCAACTAGGGAACAACACTTAAACATTATATTTATTTAAATAGCCACATGGAGCTTATTGCTACCATATTGGGCATTGTAGAAATTTGACTATTAGAGGAAGTTTTAAGGAAGAGTTAAGATCACTCCCAGTTCTTAAAGGACTGGTAGAACTTGAATAGAAAAAGTAGGACTGGAATTGTCTGTTCACCATTTATACCACTCTTAATAGCTTATCAATAATAAAATAAGACAGTATCCAAGATCTCAGAAATTTAAAGCTCTTATAGAGTGTAATTGTTTTGTGTACTACAACTAGTGTAACATCTGCTTGTTCAGTACCACAGAGCCATAGTGTATGGTCCTGTCATCACTTCGTTTTTTCCTGTGTCAGTAACTAATAATAGTGCCATTGGTTGTGATGAAGGATGTTATTCATAGTGCCAGTGGAAACAGATGGCACAAGCTGGGACTTTGTTGCCATTGGTCAAGCATGAGAGAGAGTGTATCTCCCCAAAGTACTCCCCATAACTGGTGGCATGTGGGTTAGGGAGCGAGAGGACGACTTGGAGCTTTCAAATTTACAAATACAGTAAATCTGATTTTATGTGAACTCTGTATATTTTTTATCTTTTCAAATTTTTTAAGCTGTAAAGGATACTAAGGAAAATCACTCTCTCTTCAGCTTCATTTTCATTTTTTATCCCCAAAATGATTTACTCTTTTCACCTTTGTCTTAAGACGTATATTTTACTGAAGACTTTGAGTATCACCACTACAGTTGTGTGTAGTGTTTTTCTACAATTTTTGCTTACGTAGTTTTCATGTCATTGAATGGCTAGTTCATAGTAGTGGAGAGCATAATATACCTTGTATAGGAACAGTTCTGGTAGTAGGAGAAAAATCCTTAAATGGGCTCTGTGGTGAAAGTTAGCCTCACTGCCAGCCTCCTCCACATCTTCCTAGTATGGCTGTAATCTTATTGTTTCAAAAAATGTATTTCATTGATGTTCTAACCATTTGTGATCAGTGCTAAATACTATTTCTGGTCCAAAGTGATGTTCTAAAAGTGATGAAACTGTAAAGTTATGTGGAATAGGGGCTCCTTAAAATCTACAGTATTTTCTACATTTAACTCAAAAAGGGAGATAAAAATATTAAAAGAATTAACTGCCATAGTAAATGGCATGTGTGACATCTGAATGTACAGGATCTATTTAACAGTCTTTTATTTCCCATATCTTGTTTATTAATAAAGGAGCAAGACCTAGAAATTGGTAAAGACGTGGTGATTGGTAAAACTACAGCGGTACGTAGTTTTTGTTTTTTAATTCAACTGTAACCTATGGTGGTTCAACTAAATGGGAAGGAAGATAGAGGAGTAGACTGGGTTTTTATCTGTTTTACTACTTTGGCCTTTATTTAAATTTTTTTCAAGTGAAAGATGCATTTTAAGGAAGTGGTTAAAACTACTAAATTATATCTATGATAATTTTTTTTAAATTTTGTTCTTAGAAGAACCTAAAGATCAATTTTTGTCACAGTGATTACATGAGAATAATGAATGCTACTGGAATAAGGAAATACATCATAAAAACTATAATTTTTCATTGTCAAGTTTTACATTAAAGTCCTACACAGGAATTACTGTCAAAGTACTTGATGTCTTAATCTGAGATTTCCAAAATCTTAGTCAAATTGAACAGCATACTCGTTTTCTTCTGCAACTACCAAAACACAGTCGTCATTATAAGGTGATTGGGGTGCAGTTGAAAAAACTGTGGTGAAACCGGCATCCGAATTTCTTTTGTACAGGAACCAAACGATTGCTCCCAAAACTGTTAAAATTACTGTGCTAGCAATCACCAAAGCTGATATTAAAATGTGGTTATCTGAAAAGAAAAAGACAAAAAATATATATGGAAATCACTTACCGCTATTGCACTCGGAGAAGCACAAATACAGTTTCGTCACGTACATATTGCCTATTTTAAGGATTTTCCCACATTGATAAAAATAAAAATGAATTTATTGTTTCTTAGCTTGAACAACTGTCATTTCAAGATTTCAACTAAGTTTTACAATTGCCACTCTACTGTAAGATTCTAAAATGGAAATTATCCCCACTTGGTATACTACAGTTCTTTTTGTCTCTTCGTTTTTTACTTTCTGGTCTAAGACTTTATATTTAATGCTCTTTTCAAGGCTAGTTGTCTTGTGAGGTTTGTTTACATTAGTGAAGCTTATTGGTTCATCTGGTGTTTGGCATTTAAAATTTGTTCCACTGAAAAAACCAGGAATGGCAATAGAATATCCACCCCCCCTTTTTTAAAGATTTTCTTACATTTGAAAGTGCTTGAGTTGGGGAAGGGGCAGAGAGGGAGAAGCAGACTCCACAGTAAGCAGGAGATAAGGGGCTGTATCCCAGGACTCTGAGGTCATGACCACAGCCACCCAGCCACCCATTTTTTGTTTTAATTTAGTCAAGTATCTGTGTGTATTCCTTAATGATGTATAACCTTAACAGTTCTTGGCTGTTCAATACACTTGTAATCTTTCAGTCAGTCCGTTCAGGGAAATGAACTCCGTTTAGGAGTTATAGGAGATCAAAGCTTCGGGGGACGAAGGTATTGGTATTTAGTAGCATCCAAAGACCTCAAGTTATTTTCTTCTTACCGATGAGTTTTTACATTATGGTTATCTGAATGTACCTATATCCTTCCTTTGAGCTGTGCTTATAAAATGTAAAGCTTAGCGAAGAAAATCTGGCCAAAAGCTACTTGTTAAAGGGAGGGAGAGCCATTGATATTTTTAAAATATTGACAGTCTTCTTTAAAAAATAACACAGGAGGAGTCAGGTAAATAGCCACAGCTGAGTTCTCTCCTTTTTGGTCCTAAAACAATAAAAAGTTTGTAGTGGTCACAGTTTGTTAAGGTGTGGGTTGTATTCTTACTGGAGACCATCAGATGAAAAAAAAAATGTGTATCAAGAAAGTGAGGCACATAGTGGTTACACATTTTTGAAATGTTTGTACTTGATATATTCAGAGACCACTCTGGATCAAATGCTGCCGGATTGTTCAGCGGTTCCTGATGGGGTTTTGAGAACCACTTAGACCTACTGACTCTTTCCTACACATTTCAATCTGCATAAATCCTTTCCCCCTCCAAGTATACGTGTGCCTAGCTTAAAATTCATAGTTCTACAAGATAACGTAACCAAAACTATTGTGCTGCTCTTGCTTTACCACTGCTACTCACCCTGCATTCCCAATGCTGTTAACTTGTACTTGCCTTCATGCTTGTAAATAACGTGCTTACACGGCTTTTCTTGATTCAGTTTTTGTTTTTGTTTTTTTTTTTTAAGATTTTTATTTGACAGAGATCACAAGTAGGCAGAGAGAGAAGGGAAAGCAGGCTTCCCACTGAGCAGTGAGCTCGATGTGGGGCTCAATCCCAGGACCCTGAGATCATGACCGAGAGAAGGCAGAGGCTTAACCCACTGAGCCACCCAGGCGCCCCTCTTGATTCAAATTTTTTTAATGTAAAATACACATAACAAAATGTACCATTTTAACCAGTTTTTAAGTTGACAGTTTTATAGTTGACATTGTTACAGAACAACAGTCCACATTGTGCTGTGTCACCATTTATCCACAGACCTCTTCATCTTTCAAACCTGAGACTCTGTATCTTAAACAATAATGCCCCCTTCTTCCCTCCCCTCATCCCTGTCAACCAGCATTTTACCTTGTGTCTATGAGGTCAACTACTCCAGGTACTTCATATAATTGGAATTGTCCTTTTGTGACCAGCTTATTTTACTTAGCATCTGATGTCTTCCATTTTCGTGCATGTTGCAGGATGCATCAGAACTGCCTTTTTTAAGGCTAAATAATGTTCTGTAGTGTATATACACCATGTTTTGCTTATCCATTCATCTGTTGATGGACACTTGGGTTGGCAACTTCCACCTGTGACTGTTGTGAATAATGCTGCTCTGAATGTGTGTACAAATCTCTCTTTGATACCTCTTTTCATTTCTGGGTATATACACAGAAGTGGATCATAGGTATTTCTATTTTTAGTTTCTTGAGAAGCTACCATACTGTTGTTGCCTATGCCATTTTACATTCTTACCAGTAATGCACAAGTATTCCACTTTCTCCATATCCTTGTGATCACTTGTTTTTTTTATTTTCTTGCTTTGTTTTTTGCACATAGACAACCTAATGGCTATGAAGTGGTGCCTGCCTTGATTTTTTTAGGCAAGCTCTACATCCAGTGTAGTGCTTGAATGCACTACCTCAAGGATCAGATCCACATAATCTGCCAGCTGAGCCAGACATGCCCCTTTGCTCTTTTTTTATTTTTTTGATATTTTTTCCTCCTATGGAAGAGTGAGAACTTGATTCTCCATTATCTACATGAACTCTCAAACACTTCCATCATAGTTCTAGCAAGCCCCCAACTAAGAGAAAAAATAACTACGATATATGTGACACCTCATATCCAGAATTTTACAAAACTACCAATCAGAAAGGCAAAGCAATTAGAAATAAGGACAAAAAACGTGGAGGTATATCAAAAGAACACACTGCAATGTAAGTGTGTAAAAATGCTCAACATTATTCATCAGGGAAATGAAAATTTAAAAATGACAGATCACTACACATACATCTGAATGACTAAAATCAGGTTGAGTATCATGGGATGGATGTGTACAGCGAATAGAACTTGGATACACTGACAGTGGGAATGTAACAGTTAAGCCAGTTTAAAAAATTATTTGATGGTTCTAATAAAGCTAAACATGTTAGCTACCCTATGACCTTGCAATTCTACTCTTTGGAAAATACTCCAGGAGAGTGACAAGATAGGTCCAAATGAGAATGTTCATAGGCAGCTCTTAACATAGTGTCAAACAAGAAATGATTCAAATATATGTAACTAGAGATTGGGCAAATTGTGATAGATTTATAAAATACTATGCAACAGTAAAATGGGTGCAGTAGATACTCAACTTGGGTGAATCACTGAAAAAAAACAAAAAGAAGCTAGTAGAATTATATTTATGTTAACGGCAAGCAACTCTATGGTGAGAGAACTCAATAGTGGTTAAGTAGGAGACATGATGGTAGGGGGTACATGTATTGGGAAAGAGCATGAGGGAAATTTTTAATGTAACAGAAATGTACTGTTATCTTTTTTTTAATTTATTTGACAGAGATCACAAGTAGGCAGAGCGAGGAGGAAGCAGGTTCCCTGCCGAGCAGAGAGCCTGATGTGGGGCTGGATCCCAGGACCCCAGGATCATGACCTGAGCCACCCAGGCGCCCCAACAAATGTACTCTATCTTGATTTGAGAGGTAGATAGCCAGGTGTATACAG